ATAGCAAATGAACTATGTTATTTATATATCTATAGATATAAAAATCTTGTGTCCACTGTGTTGGTGACTATACTCCTCCAAAACGGCTTAACCGATTTTATTTACGTGTTCTGTGGGTTAAAATACCCCCCAATATTTCTAAAACAAATGATTGTTGCAATGCTATGGAAGCTTTGTCTACATGTAATCTCGAAATATATCCAAATATATTTAAATAATTAATCATTTTCGCCACACTCCCAGTTGCACAGAATTAAAGATTATTTTCGTTATTACAAAGGATAAAGATTTATTTACATAATACTATGATCAAATTATGTGCATTTTTTATATTACTAAGATTATATTATACTAATTATTATCAAGTCTTGGTAAACAATTTAGTATCATAATTATTATAAAATATAATTAATTTATAATTGTTCTGTGTAGAAAACACTTAATAGGTCAGCCATGCTTTCAATAAATCAAAAAGTTCATATTTAAAGTAATCAAGTATTGGACTAATTGGCATTAAAAAAGTTGTGTTCCTTTAACACTGTAAAATTAACTAATAAATCTATGCAAAATTTAATCAATTTATTTACAAAATTACCAGCTGATCTGAGATTAGTTAATGTTTTATTCATTTTTAATTTTCATATTTTATTCCGGAAATAATTCTAATCACAAATTTAAATAGTAATAGTAATCCTATGTTTTTTTTTACAAAAACATTATTTATAAGGTGTTTTTATATCATTGAGTTATTAATATAAATTCATATATAGGTAAACTATAGAAGTATAACCGTTACTACTTACTAATGATAATTACTATAGTTTATATTTTTAGTTCTAATATCAGAGGCTAAAATATATACTTTTTTGGTATGCACACTTAAGGATTTTGCCATACTCCCCTTTCAAACGTTAACAGTAATAAGTAGGGAAAGGATTTATATGTAAATGCATATTTTTATTAAAACGAGATATTTAAGATTCGATAAGAAATGTTTATGATTTAAATCATTCCTATTAAAATGATGATACTTTTATTTTACATATTTTTACATATTTTGGTATAATTACATATTTTTACATATTTCACTAATTTTTAAACATTTTTAAACATATTTTTGTCATTACATCATTCATACGTCTTCTTCGAACGAAAATACAAGAAACTATTTCAAAATTAGATCCAGAAACTTCTATCGCTATTGGAAAAGCTCAAAATATTATGCTAAATGAAACATTGAAAATAATTTAATTTTAATTAAAAATAATTTAACAAAATTATTAATAAACAATATGTCCCCAAATGATAGTATGCAAATTGTTGAATCAGCGATTAAAACTCGTAAGCGGACCAATAGATGTTGTAAAAAAGAAAATTCATGCTGTTACAGAAAAAAATTCCAGGCAATATTGATTTTATAACAATCAATGACATAATGAGTGGCAGACACCCTTCTAAAAATTTGGAATTATCGCCTTCTGATAGTACGCACTTGAAATATGCTTTTAATACATAGGTTGATATGAAACGATAATTTAGCCGTTTTAAAAATATTTTGATACCTAATAGGCGACATTTAACGTTTGATAATTTAAAAGATATTGTAATAATTCAATGCAACAAATCATTTTGATAATTTAATAATAATAATAATTTTCTTCCCCCACATATTTTGATGTTTTTAGCATATATTTTATAAATTATACTTACATATATATGTAAATATTTCTGTATTTTTATTAGATATAAATCCGTTCCCTAATACTAAGTAACACAGTTAAAATAGTTGGTATTTTATAATTTGCTGATGATACATCTTGGAATTTCAAAAATATATAAAATAAATTAATAATAAATGTCAAATTAAAATTAAATACCATAATATAAAGAATAGAATCACAACACACTTTTTTAATTATACACTACACACTTTATATTTTGTATTACACAAAGTGTGTCGTACTACACACAATTTTAGTCCCTGTAATAGGTAGTTAATTATTAATTATAAAAATTTTCAACAAATGTATATCAATATTTTAGGCAATTATTGTGGGGGAGCAAAGTTGACTATATAACTTTGTGATTAACCTATGATAATATTTTTGGGGAAAAAAGTATTGTATAGACGCCCCTTTCCCCCAAACAAAATGTAAAATATCCCACTGTAGTTATAAATATTCTTATACGTAATATTAAATAATAACAAATTCTTACATTTCAAAAACTGAAAAGATTTTTAAAGGATTTTCTTACACATAAATATGAAAGTACTAGTTTATATCTGAAAAACCAGAAAACATCAATCCATAATCCATAATAATGTTGTTAATCGGTGGTATCCGATAAGGAAGACCGAAACACTTTACATTACGTCAATCGCCGAGTGTGGTTGTGACTAGTGGGAGAAAATGGCAAAATGTTATTACCCACATTCACGTAGTACACCATATACATATCTTTATACTGCATATATAGGGTCTTCTATTTTTATTACTCAGATACTCTACAGTCTACATACAGTGGTGGCGGTAAACAATGATCCATAACAAAATGTAATCACAGAAATTGAATAGATATTAATATCACCTATTTTAATAACTAAATAACCATACAACAAATTCTTGATAATATACCATTTATATGATATAAGTATAAATTATATTTTATTATAATGTCATAGGTATCATATTATATTATCGTTAATCGAAGTAATATAAATTATTTATAATACATCAATACTATACCACTACAGCTATAGCTATAGATATTATATATTACGACATATGCTTTAATCATATCTGTAATGATATTGTGGATATTTAATAGATGATCAACATATCCATGGTAAATTTAGTCCAGAAGTTATCTTGTATGGATATCTATACGATATCTATACGAAGTAACATATGGACTAGATGTAATATGGATTTGATGGTCATCCATTAAATAACCACTGGACAGCATGTGCTGTGTGGGTTCACATTTGTCGACGGTGAAATCTTGTAGTTTGTAGGAAAAACCTAGATTTGTTGTAATTGGGTTTCAAACAGATTGGAAAAATAATCTACTCAATCATTCTGGGCATTTCGATCAATTAATCAATTAAGGATTAATTTAACGTTGTTTAATTTAATTACCTAAGAAATGGCTAAAGAAAGTCTTTTAGTTAATGGAGAACTTGAACAACATAATGTTGTCCCCATTGTTGGCGATGGTGCCTGTTTATTCCGAGCTCTTTCTTTTTTAATACACGGAACACAAGACAATGCGATGGAGGTGCGATCACTAATTGTTGGACATGTGATGAATGACTGGACCAAGTTTTCATTTATGTCTCACAATAGAAATGGTGATATTTACTCAACGGCCAATGAATATTATGCTGATATGATAAAAAATGAAACTTATGGTGGGCTTTGTGAGTTTATAGCAGCGGGATGTATATTTCCATTTAATTTTAAAGTTTATCGAAATGGTATCTTATACACGGAGTCCGGATCTAATGATTGTCCAGTAAAGCTTTTACGATTTGGACAAGATTTGCCCAATGGACATCTTGATGCTTATCTTCTTACTGCGACAGAAAACAATACTCAGAGTCGTATAGAAAAACTGGTCGATGAACGCGAACATTCACCTATTGCATCTTCAGTACACAGTAACATTTCTGCAAACATTTCACTATCCTAATCAAGTGAAACAGATCAATCTATTTCGTCCTGTCGAAAACGAAGGGCTAGATTTAAAAGGTTAATGGGTGGTGTAACGGTTTTACTGGCTGGAGACTTTAGGCAGACTCTACCAGTAGTACCAAAAGGGACCAGAACTGATGAAGTCAATTCATGTCTTAAAAGATCTACTTTATGGCCTAAGATTAATATACTCAAACTTTCAAAAAATATGAGGGTACACTTGGGAGAGGAAAAGTTTGCTGGTGGATTTTCAGATCTTTTACTTGAAATTGGCAATGGTGATTATCCATCGTTTGATGAAATGATAACTATCCCAGAAAATTGGTGTACAGTTGTAACTACGGTTCAGGATTTAATATCAAAAATTTATCCAGATATTGCTCATATTCACGATAAGCCTATGGAATGGTTGTGTGAACGTGCTATACTCACTCCAAAAAATGACCAAGCGGCGGCTATCAATGATACACTGCTGATGTCTTTTGAAGGGGAAGAAAAAGTATATACTTCTATAGATACAGTGGTCAACATGGACGATGCAACTAATTATCCGGTTGAATTTTTAAATTCACTGAAACCACCGGGCATGCCATATCATAGACTTATTCTGCGTGTGGGCACACCTATTATGTTGTTGCGAAATTTGAAACCGCCTAAACTGTGCAATGGGACCAGGCTTTAAGTCAAAGCTTTACATCGCAATATAGTAGAAGCCACAATTTTAACAGGTGTGCAAAAGGGGAAACTGTGTTTGTACCACGAATCCTTTTAATTTAGAATGATCATCCGTTCGAATTTAAACGATTACAGTTTCCCCTGAAAGTCTGTTTTGCAATGACTATAAACAAGTCTCAAGGCTCCTCGCTGGGACGAGATAAAAGAGCTCTTACTTCCCGGTCAAAGATCATATGATCGACATGATATAATTGCAAGAGTGTTTCGGTAAAAAGTTAAAAAGACCATGAACTTATTGACAAAAGGTAAAATATTCGGAGAAGTGAGATGCTATATGTATTCAACAGAATACCAAACCGTAGAGAGGTTCAGGTAGTTGTAAGCTATAACTTATAGAATAGGTTATGATAATAACTAAATTAATATGTATAAAATATTATTTCAAAAATCTTAATTAATTTAAATTTTAATAGATTTAACAAAATTTAATCTTGGCAGGTTACATACATTTATATACTTAAACCCGGCAACGACGGGTAATTCAGCTAGTTTAAACAATAAATGCATTTATTTTATTTTATATCGTTCAAAAAAAAAAAAAAAAAAAACAATCATAAAAATAATTTACGATTCACTTTGTATGTTGCTTGTACTGCATAAGTCGGTATTGAAGGTCTGTTGAAATACAGCGGGCTATCGTTTTCATCAACAATCTACAATAACATTGTATAGGTAAATAAAAATATTGTACAGTATAATTATTTTATTATAATTTACCTGAGAGTTAATTGGAGACGATGGCATATTCGTGTTTTCACACATAGTAGGGGATAACGGCGAACATTGAAATAATGAAAACAGCTCTGTATTGTTTCGTCCTAAATATCATATTCGTATTAATTATATACAATTATTTTACCTCAGATACGGCTTCTTCTTTGATTACATACTCTTCCGCTAGCTGTCTTGTGGCCAGTAGTTTCAGTTGACTGATGAATCTTATTGGACTGTTTAATTCATAGCTTGATAACAATGCATCGTTGAGATTTTGTATTGTTTTTTTCCATTTCTTCGATATTTTTTCCACGTTTGAAATCCAATTTCAAGTAATCCGATATTTGATTGAATTGTTGAAGTATCATAGGGTGAACAAATGTATTTTTTCCAACATAGGTTTCAAAAACAGCCCATTCCATGTACTGCAGAGCTATGAGATCCACACGATTAAGCATTTTGCGACAACCATCTTCAACTTTTGATTCGATGACCAAATTATTTTCTCCGCGATAAATAATTTTTGATAATTTATTTACTTCGTCCATGAAGAGTAAAAGATTTTTATTTCCATCCGGTGTGTCCAATATCATTGATAAAATATTACCCATAAAAGAGTAGATTCGTTTTAAAAAGCAATGTGTTATTGAAATATGGCGAGAAGATGTTATGATTCGAATTATAAGTTTGAAATTATCGCTCGGATCGAATCCAATGTTTAAGAATTTACGACTGACAAAGTCAATTACAAACATACTTGAATCAATTAGTTCGTTAGGTGTCATGGGTGCAACGTACATGTAATTTGATTTCTTGAATATAGCAGCATTACTCTGTAATGATCCGGCCATTGCAAATAAAAAAAAAAAAACAAATTAACAACTTGAAAATTAACACTAAGAAAGCAACGCATCGACTGATATTGGTATAGACCCCAATAGTAAGTCGATGACTTCAGATTCGGTTATTGTGGAGAGGGAAAGGCCTTTTTAATAATTACAAAATCAACAATATTAAATTTTTCTCGGAAATATAACGTGTGTGAGAACTTGAAGTTTTTTTCTCAGAAATATTGTCAGGTAAAGACATGATATTTCGTGTAATTTGATATAAATATTGCATCTTGTTCACAGGCAAATGGCATATTCTTTTGAATAATAATCACATTTTTTTTATCGGAAATATTGACGAAGAGAGATATATGGCTAATTACACGTAATTTGATATACATATTCTGAATTATATCGAGATACCTATGTACGAACTGAAATACGTTAAATTAATTACATATTACTAATATATGTAAGAGTCTAAGTGGATACAACATTCTAAGCATCTCCAGTTCGATTCTTAGCCAGATATTGCGTTTATTTTAAATATTATCAATAATATGTTTTCAAATGTATTATCACCTGTATGATAATATTAACGGGTACTTGATATCACAACTGGTATCGGTTATTATCAAAAACCGAATATTCCTTATGTTTTCATATGTGTTATCACCTGTACGATAACATTAGCCGTTAATTGTAATCACATTTTATATTATCACAACTGATATCGGATATTAACAAAAACACGGCCGGCCAATAGTATGCAATAAGAAGTGGTGGGAGAAGGGGGGGTGGTAGAAACGAACACGATCGCTGCAGCGGTGGGGTCGTCGGCGACAAATGCTGTGACGATGACGGCGGCGGCAATATTTCTGGGAACGCTGCGTCACTGCCGGTGGGATATGTAGTGACGTCTGTAGTATTGGAGGTGGGGAGTCTGTGACGTGTGTCGTGCACGTGCTTGATCGGGCGGTGGTGGTTCAGAAAGATAAGGAGGATATGCAGGATATGCAGGATATGGTGTCAGAACTGTCCTAATTATACTACTTTCATGGATGTTGAACGATTTTAAAACCATTTAAAATAAAAAAATAAATCACGGACCCGGACGTTTTGACTTTGGCCGTTTTGGCGTGAGACAATTGTAGGCGTATAATTATAAATAAATGAATAAATCATAATAATTATTATTAAATGCATATTTATATTAAATTTAATACATCAGATTTAATAATTAATGACAACTTATATTTTGAGCTATGTCCCTTAAAAAATTAATTATGGTTCTATTTTTATAATCGTTGACGATGGTAAAAATTATTTTTTGACATTAATACATTTTTTTTTTTTTTTTTGAGGATTTACCAGTTTCTAATTTATGAAAAAATCTTTTCGTCTTTTCTTAGGTTACAAATAAATGCTTATATAGTTTGATGTTGTATACTCATTTGCAAATTTAAACGCCTATTAGCTGCTTCAACATAGTTGTTAGTTCTGTCTTCATTATTTGGAACAAGATCATGAACGTTCCATAAAGTCGGTGGAAACCGTGGAGGTCACCGCCGAATTCTAATTACTCTACCAGAAAAATATTATGAGATAGGTTAGCCTTATAGGGTATATTATGGAGAATTTGACTCTTGGGGCATCCACTTAAAACTTTTCTTACAGATGATTCGACTGATCCAGCGAACTATTTGTGGGGAGGATCCCGTTAACAGCGTGTTCTTCTAATGCCTTATACATTTTTCCAGCCAAACACCGACGGGACACCTTGTCAACCTGAAAACAACGAGCAAAATGATGTGACATAAATATCTCGCAAACAATTTTTGTTATTAATCAAAACGATAAGAATGATGTAATGAATAAAATAATAAAAAAAAACTTCAATGACGGTGTTTTTTCGAACCGTTTCAAATCTCGATCTGATTATGTGCAATGCGCGTCACCCGACTTAATCAACACGTTGAAGGTCTTCTTTACGGTGTGGGACATTTTGAATCAGTCCAACATGAACAGTCTGCCAATAAATCTGCACGGAACAATGAACACGCGGTGCAGTCGGAGAAGTCTGAAAAAAAAGTCGAGCCTCGACCACACGACGGCCGTATTACCTGCACGTTTCCAGCGTACGGACGCAGAAAGTTTTGCTTGCGAAGCCGTTGTCGTCGAATATGAAGTTTCCATCATAATTATAAGTAGGTACAACTATGTATTTTAAACGATCAAGGTTGTATGATTATTTTTCTACGAAAATCTCACATTACATAATAATTGTGTCCTTCCCATTTTCCATCTAGATTATCCCTTTTAATTATGATTCGATCACCGGTTGCCTACATCCGAATCCAGTGTTCTAAACTCTCGATTCTCTCATCTGTTTTGTTTTTTAGAAAAGCCACTTAATTTTTTTCGCCCGAGATCCTTACTTTAATGAAACGATTATGTGTGGACGTACCGAACGCGGCAATAGGCTGCGTTGGTTCTATTGGCGGTGACACGGTTGCACAGGTGTGGTTGGTTCTGGAAAAGCGACCAATTGTTGTTCGTCCACCATTATTGACGTGACAACTGGGGTGACGACAGCCGACTGTTTCATTGTTTTGACATTAATATGGTTATTGATGCATATTTAAAATTGGTTAGTATACATGATAAATAATTTAGAACAGACATATCGTTGAAATTAATATTTTCACCTTGAAGTATTTTTGACGCTATGATGTCCGACGACGGCATGACAACTGTGAATTCGTCTTGTTCATGAATACGGAAAAATGGATATGTCCATTTGGACTTGGGCGTTTTTACGTGGAATTTTGGACGTATATGATGAATGGGTGAAAAAAAATGTATATATAATATCAAACAAGTATTTGATAATATAATAATAAGTTTATAATATTATATTATCAAAATATAATACGTATTTGAAATATATTTGAAATACAGAAAAAGTATTTAAATACTAATATTTAAATAATTAACAAGTATGGTTAGGGGTCACTTGTATTTCTATTGACGTCGACATTTTTTTTGAATATTTTAGGATGGTGATATATCGAACTATTTCTTTCGAATTTTATTTCTTATCGAACTTTCTTTCGATATATCGAACATTTTCTTTTTGTTGAAAAAAATGATTTTAGTTCGATATATTTCATTACTAATGTATTTAAAAAACAAAATAGTCATGTTTATACAATTACATTTTATTCAATTAAAATTTAAACATATCTTATTTGTTGTAGATTAAACTTACAATAATGATATTTTTTTTATACTTCTATTAATTACGGGTAAATGCAATGTATTTGGAATGGATATAGAGTTACTACGTACATAAAAAAAAAACTTGTCGATTTCATGATCGATGAAAATACTTACCTAGTTATCCAATCGAAACTATTTTTCAACTAGTGAAATATTATTTCATGGGTTTTTTTTTTACATTTCAACGGAAAAAAGTGTGAAAATTAATAAGATTAAAAATATATTAATGTACAAAAGCTCCAATATAATTGTTCAGTGTTGTGACTGACGTGTGGAAATAATGTTCAGATCGAGTGTGGTGATCAAACGTGAGCGGTGATCTTTCTCGAGAGATGTGTTGGATTAAAAACGAATTAGTGTACCTATACATTTATCTATTAATAATCTTATAATTCTTGAAACTATTTCGAATTGTAATGGATATTTTATTGGGATGATAGCTTTCCGTAGTTGGAGGGTTTCAGTTTTCAACTTACCTCCTCTTCAACGACACACCTTGCAATTGTTACGATCATTCGCAGATGTTTCCACGCGTACATCTATATATTATTATGATTATAATTAAACTGGGTACCTGCGTATACATAATGCGTGGGAATCGTATACATATCGCGCATGTATAATCAATTAATTTCTCATCTATAAGTTGTTCGGTGCTGTAGTTGCGAACAATTTTTCTCAATAGTTCGGCACCTGCGTTATTTGCCGCTTACGGACCGCGTGTGCGTAGGTCAGCGGGCGATTATCATAATATTTATAAGACAGTTCTGAATACACGAGTAAACGAATTTTAAGTATTATACTTTACGCGTTTCACGATAACTCTTCATTCAAAAAATGCAACGGAATTTTGTTAAAACAACACTACCAAATAATCACATAATACGATACGCGTATTACATATTAGTTAAATTACTCAGTATCGCACGGAACAGTTTTGGTCGGGATATAGTTTTTAATGGATTATTACCTTACATTACTTAAAGCTTATTTTGATGTAACTGTTGGTTAAAAAACAAATTAAACGAAATTTCAAATGAATCGGTATGGTAGTTGTAATAACACACATGGTATATAAAATACACAGAAGTCAGATAATTTTTAGTATTTAAAACTTGTTTAAGAACCAATATTATAACCTAGTTTCGTATAATATTTATGTATCTGGTTTATGGCCACATACAATATACAATTATGTAGATGTAACATGTAATTATTAATTATAATAATGTATTGTTTCATTTTTTAATAAATTAATTTGTATAATATTATTTTATAATTAGCGATAAAAATAGTAAAATAACACTAGTTATAGTTTTACTTTAATTATAATAGTATAATTTATATATAATAATAATGGTAGGAATTTATAATAACAATATTTGAAATGGCACAATATTTTTAAATTCTTCAGAAAGTAACTTCAAAAGTTTTAACATAGACTGTTAATTCCTGTTCGACATAATATGTTATTCAATTATAACTTGAGTAATCATATTTTATAGTTCATCTTAACTTCATTTTCACGTGAATTATTTTCTAAGACGCTCTTTTGGAAGAGCAACTTGTCATAGAAATGACTGAAAATGTTATGGATGTGCCTAGGAATTTCCGGCACACCCCAAAGAACCATCTGGGCGTATTACGCACTACGTGGCCTTTCTTATTTATTGACCCACTATTTATATATGTGTAATATTAACTTAGTTGGTCCGTGATCACTTACCGATTCGATAGTTAATATAAGTCTCTATATATTAAATATATATTTATTTATATGTTATAGATATATTTGATTTGCATTCCGACATCAAATGCAGTCAGATATTTCGTCTGTCGATAGCTCTAGCCAAGTTTTTGGAAGTAACGGAGTAGAAATAGTGACTGATGACGAACAAGCAGAATAATAGCGAAATGGAAGTCGAGGATCAATTGATTCCTGTAATAGAGATCTTGAAATGGACGAAGGATAATTCATAGTCGATGATTAATTTGAAAATATCGAGGAAGGACTAGTGATTCTCTAGTCTGAATTTGAATTTGATAGTCCTCGATATAGGATGACCTCGATATCCAAGCCCAAATTATATCGTCACCGAGGAGTTCTAATGAAGACCAAACCAACGAATTTGACAAATTATTTAAGAATGGAAGGGGAGATGGAATGAACAACTATTTTACCGACGCGGCACTTAAAATAAAAATATTTAAAAATGGCTTCTCAGTGATTCTCGATGATCAGGAATTCAAATTTATCTATAGATATATTCCTCTATTTTCCTATATAACGTATACGTTTATGACGCTGGAAATTGAAATTTCATTGAAATCATGTTCAGCAGCAAGTTCTGTTTGCCTATGAGGGGCACCCTTGGATGACTTGGACGTAGTCGTCATTGCCGGAGATGATGATTAAATGCTGTTTAACGGAGAAATTCTGTCATTGATACCAATCAAACACGCATCGATGTTCTCCATTACATTCCGGTGGCACAATAATGTCTAACTTTTAACGAACGCGCATTCCTGGTGAATTATAATCAACCAGAATAGCGGTAATAGTCTTTATTTTTCGGTGGAATATTGTCAACATACTGGTGCATTCCACGATAAATGGTGTGAACTTTGTTGTTAAAAGCTAACTAATGTCAAAAGAATTTGAAAAAAAACACTATTTTAACAGAAATTTTTTTCGATAAAAATTGTATGGTTCCATAAATGTCTATAAAATAATTCGTTACGTAGAGAGTTTCGATAAATAAAGGTTCGACAGTAATTTTGTACCAACCCCGCCACTTTCTTAAAGATACCTCTTACCAAGGGCGTACCCAAGGGGGGTTTCGGATCCTGACCCCCCCATTGAAATTTCTATATACTCAACGATTTAATAGTAAATAGTATAATAATAGTATATAGTGTATTTTAATTTCCCATTATCTTCATTAAACATTTATAGACTATATAGTATACCTATCATGTATAAACTATAGTATATTAACAGTAATTTGTTGGTATTTAGTTAAACTATAATTATAATTAGATAACAGATAAAATAAAAATGTTGGACCCCCCCTCCATAGAAAATTCCCGGATACGCTCTTGCCTCCTACCCTATCTGTGAAATATTTTAAGGTTACATATTATAAGGTTTTGTGTTGATAAATGTGTATTCCAGTAAATTTTAAAACAATTAGTATTAACAAAATGTTGAAGTACCTTAAAAATAAATAATATCGAATTATAAACGTATTAAAAAACCTTTTCATAACACTATTGTAGGATAACCTACAAACAATATAATAATAAAAAAAAAAAAAAATAAAAAAGTAACGCATTCATTTTATGTTACACTTATAATAACTTTATTTTTATGTTATAATAGAGGAGACTTCTACAGTGTATTATTATTACCTAAAGATGTATAATTTTATTTTAAATATATTTTAATTTTATTTCCAACGCAGTCAAAGCTAAACCAACATATATATTATAGACGTAAATAATGCCGTAATTACGATAATAATATTTAAGAAACTTATTATTGTCATATATTTTATAATAAAAAGATATATTTTTTGTCAATATTATTATTAATTTTATCGGTTATTATTTCAGTTCACGTCCGCCGAGGTACGGTTATTTATTGTTTCGGCTAAAACAAGTTCGCGGGTACAACACAACACACGTGTAATACTATTATTATTATTATTCTAAGGTGATTATAGTAGGTACCGCCGGACGGGCCGTGACGTATTTTTAACACCAACGATAAATACATGACGCATTATCATAGATATAATATAAATGTTTGCGTTATTTAAAAAAAAAAAAAAAACCATTACGTTCGTATTATGTATATGTCGGCGAAGCATGTAAATATATTATAAGATTAAATTTTATTTGTCGCTAAATGAGGGTACTGCCTGCGCAACAGTATGTTGTCCACGGCCGGCAATAGCAAGTACCTTTTGGACTTCAGCCCGTCTGCTTGCGTCTGCTCTGTTGTTGACGACGACCCGCCGTTCCCGATGAGCTCTTCAAATGACCGCCCAATATCCTGGACGTCCCCGCTGAAAACGTTCCCGAAACAAAAGAAAAAAAAATTAATAAAATTTTATATTATACATATTGTTATTGTGTAATGCATTGCGTCGAATGGGTGGAATTGCCGATTTCGTGAAATCGGTGACTCCATTCGTAATGTTTTCACGAAACTCGTTTTTATTCGAGTAGTCTTTTTTTATACGTCATCAGTTTTGAATTTTTTTTTTTTTGTTGCGATTTCTTACTAATAGCATAAAGTAGTCTAAGAAAGGTTTCGTTAACAAAATAAAGTATTACGATATCAGGTTTTTTTTTTATACTTTTTGGACTTGAAATTTTATTAATTACTGCATCGATTGCTAGATCATTAGCATTACATTTGAAGAAAAATAACCTAAATAAAATAATACAGTTTAAATTATTTAGTTTATTGTGTAGGTAACTAAAATTGTTGGCTATATAAAGCTTAATGTTTTTATTAATTTTAAAGTTCTATTGTGTTACTTTCTGTATCTAGATTTGGGCTCACGAGCGGGTTTAAGGGGGTGGCTAAGGGGGTATTAGCCCCCTCCCCCTTGGGACTAAGCTATCTATTTTACAAAGCAAAGTTTTATTATATATTAATAATTATAATAAAATATCGTCAATAATCATTGATGAATATGGTACCTATGTTATATATTTTTTTATAAATAAATAGCTCACTTTTGTTGTTAATTATATGTATTTACCTATATTTTAAAATGGTTTCAGATTAAAATTGATACCAATATAATAACTATTTAAACTTTGTCATTATTGTGAAAAAAATGACTTACTTATGAGGGACTCAAAAACATATTCTGTAATTTAAAATTTTATATAGATTTAAAAAAATCAACTAACTAAATTCTTAAACCTCCATTAGCTCCTCCCTTGGTTAGTGATAAAACCCGCCCCTGTTTGGGCTTCGACTTGTTCCAATAAGATGGCTTATGTTGAGTACTTATTTTTACTTTCATACTTTCTGTATTCCTCAAAAATGCGTTTGATTGTGAGCTTGGTTTCGCATGATTAACATATGGGTATCGAATAGCCATTATGTCTTGTGTGACCAATTCTGATTGAATTTAGGTTTTTTTTTAAATTATTTATGATACTAATATTTGGGTTTCGTTTTCATCTTTTTACCGATTGTTTAATTAGGTTTAATTTGTTTGTTCGATTACATCATTTACTTTATTTATTTTACCAGAGCGAGATAGTATTTTCTTTAATCTGTTTTCTTATATATGTGTTTGTGAAAATGTTGTGTTGTGAGTCCGGTAAACAGATTACTAATTTGGTTTTATTATCTGGCTCTTTTATTGCCGATTATTCCTATGTGTGCAGGTACTCAAATTAAAATTATGTTATTGTTCTTTTATTGTGTTTCTTATAAACTGTTTTAAATTTGTTTTGCTATATTAATAGGGTTAGATTTGTTTTTTAAACTAACGAGAGAACTTAACGAGTCACTTGGGATGATTTATTTTTGGTCTTAATTTTTGTTTATGTGTAAACTTTACATCCAGTAGTTCCAACTGCTTCAACTGTGTATGTAGAACATGTTGATGATAATTTAAATGATGTTTGTGAATTTTTTTATAGTATGAATATTCCTATCACTTCATCGCTTTTAGAGACATCAGTAGGTATTTCTTAGAATTTGTTTAGAGGCTCAGGGCAAAATAGTTTTTTTAATTTGATGGCACCTCAATTGTAGATTCAGTAATTAAATGCTAATCGAATATCATAATTTTGTCTAATGTGAGAATAATTAATTGCGATCTATGAAATCACTGCAGTATTGTCAAATAATAGAATCGCAAAATGTTCAAGAAATAAATAATTTATTTGTATCGTCTAAGAACTAATGTCCACGAAAACTTATTTAGTATGAATTGTATAGTATATAAATTCAAAGAGTTATTTATGTAATTATACTGAAATAGAGAATGTATTTTAGTTATGTGGCGTAGAATTGTAGCGAGTCGTGTAATAGATTCTATTTTTATCATCTTAAAACTGCATAATATGGAGAGTTAAAAAATTATGAACCACAGCATCCACACAAACATTACACAATATTATATAATATACAAACAATAATTAATAATTAACACCCCATGTGTATGAATTGATATAGTAATTATAAATACCTATAATACATATAATCTTTCTATAAAATGTTACTTATTTGTAGTTTACTTTAAATTACAAAATCAAATTCATAAATATAAAAATTTAGTTTCATTATATTGGTCTATGGTTGACTAATTAATATTACATTTTTGTGTTTCCGTGCAAAAGTGCTATGTTGTTTAAGGATTTTTTTTAAATAAATTAATACTGATAAAGTTGAAAATGAATGGTTATTTATATAAAAAAAAATGTTTGTTTAGTTTTATTTTGAAAATATTAATAAGTTTTTAATAGATATATTAGTGTTGGATAAAATATTTGTTTTGTTTATATAGGGTTTAATTTTTTTTTTTTTAATTAGTTCCACAGTGGTATATTTCTAAAAAAACAATAATTCCTTTACGTAAAAATGATATATATATATATATAATGGTTTAAAAATCATCTTAAAGTTTGTTGAGACGGAATTTTTAGAATGTAAACTATTTCGCCGGCTTATTTTATTTTTAATATATTTTTTTCAGCTATAATTTTTTAGACTTCAAATTACATGTTATTATCATTTTACTACAAGTTTTTGAAACAACATTGCTATACTTAAAAATGCTCATAAAAATCAGCTTAGTGAATAATCCTTATTTTAAAATGTATACAAGCAAGAAGCGTAGATATTATAAAAAGTAAACACTATTGTTTTTCGTTTTAAATGAAATGTTTGCATCAGATAATGGCGACGTAGTTTTTATTATCTCTGTAGGCATGCAAATCGTTATTCTTCTTGACGGGGCAAATAATGAAACTATGCCAGGCCCTATTATTTGTACGATTTCGGACTGCACACTTGATTTTACTGCTTTAAATGAAAATTTAGTCTCGCTACTGTCTTAGAAAAAGGCAGTGTTGGACAAATCGTAATCTGATTGATGATTAAAAATTATGATTAAAATGTTTAGTTGTTAATCATAATATAAATTAATGTAATCAATAATCACAATAAAGAATTATTTTAAATGATTAAATTCATAATGTAATCGTAGTATTGATTACGATTACAAAATATGTTAATTTGTAATCATGACTATTTTTTAACAATTAATGATTAATGATGTTTCAATAACGATTTTGGATTGAATAACAAATATATTTTGAAATAAAAATTTTAGGGTTGGATTTATTATATGGAAATTCCACCGATAATTTTTTTTTACAAAAAAACATATCGGTGAAATTTACATTTTTTTTTAGGTAAAATAAAAACGTAACTATGGAATTTATATGAAAAAAGGTAGCAATCAGTGGAATTTACATGCGTCCAAAATATTGTAGTTATGCGATAAATTTTGCGATAATGATTAACGATTACGAAAATGTAATCTTGATTATTGATTACTTTGAAAAAATGATTAAAAGATTAAAAACTAATGTAGTTTAATAAATTAATCATATTCGATTACGTAATTTAATCGTATATTAATCGATTATGCCCAACACTGGAAAAAGGAATATATTACATACATAATATATATATGCATTACATTTTAAAAAAATTCAATAATACTCATATTTCCTAGTAGTTGGCTTATTATTTAATTTTTGTTTTGTAGACCGTAGTGCACATACGTTAAAAAAACCGTAGTGCATACTTGTACATTCGTGGTGCACATTGTGTGTCGGGGTGTACATAAAAATATGGCCTGAACTGTACTATACCATTTAAGAATGGCATGCAGATAAATAATTAAATATATTTTTGTATGCAAACGAATTATTCAACAGACGCGGCTTTAAGTAATAAAGTTATAACACTGTGTTTATTCTAAAATTAATTGCTATCATATTATTTATCTTACGCTATTCATAACATTCATACTACAGAGACCTATTATTCCTTACACAAAAAATTTACATCACAGTCGTATATGTATAGATAATATAACACCAGTATAATTGATTTTTATGGTAGTCGGTAAAATAGCATAATTTTAATAAATGCCATCCATACGAAGCGTAAGGTATTTGTGAAAATATGTGTCGTGCTATGTTCAAAATCACCGGTCCACAAAAACAATTATTTTGTTACACCGTTTTGATTATTTCAACTAGATATAATATTTGTTTAAATTTGTTTAAATAACTTCATTCATTCGTGGAATATATTGCCATTATGTGCCCATCAAAACTCTCATATATTATACAGTTTAGTTTAAAATAAAGTTTTTTCACAGTTTTCATTGGGACATTATTTCTACACATAATACTGTGAAATCTTACCGATAAAAATAATATAGGTACGGATTTTTTTGTTAATATATCAATTATTAAATGCCATTTATATAGTATATAACGTATTATATGTTTACCGGCTGTTATGCTAACATAGTACAAAAATTGTATAATCAGAAAAATTATAAACGATAAGTTATTGTAAAAACAAACACATATTTATTTGTTATATGGACGGTTTTTTTGTTTTTATATGACACGATACAAATAATTTGGCATTTCGTGGACTAAACATTACACTGAACTATTGCGTAAAAAATCAAAAGCGTCTAGAGACAGCGCCTCTTATCTGCACTATTATTATCAGTATTACATTATCACTACAGTTGCTTTATCACGTAATCGGTTGATTACATTTAAATATTATATTATTTAATAATTATATTAATTGTAATATATTAATTATTTAGTATTATTAATTTATAGAGTACAAACTATATTGTCATCAAGTGAAGAATTAGAAGTAATAAATTTAAAATTTTATTCTCTTCAAGGTAATGATTTAAAAAATTCATAATAATATGTAAAACCAGTCTTATTTTTAAATTATTTGAATACATATTCTCTCATATACTCATTA